CTGAAATGGCCAACCGCAGTGCCATCAAAGCAGCGTCCACCTGCGTCTGAAATGGCCAACCGCAGTGCCATCAAAGCAGCGTCCACCTGCGTCTGAAATGGCCAACCGCAGTGCCATCAAAGCAGCATCCACATGTGTTTGAAATAGCCAGTGGAGGTCCCATCAAGGTAGGATTCACCTTTGTCTGGCCAACAGTGGTCCCATCGAAGCTGCACAGAATCATGAAAGCAGAAACCATGGAGAACTCGCATAAAGGAAGCCAGTACTTTGAGATGCTAATGCTGTGACACAAAGGTCAAAAGCAGGGTGCAGTCACTGGACAGAGCACACAATGGCTCTTCAGTTAGGCCCAGGGCTTTCATGGCCCAAAGTGTCCCTTGTGATTTGCAGTGGTCTGACACCAATAATTGTCCTTCTAGCTCTCACACCTACCCTGGGGTCAAATTGACCCCAAAGGCACATCAGGTGACTTCTCATAGTAACATAATTATTGTAGAAGCGTGTAAGAGCTAGTGCTGGCTGTATAAGCTAGCCAGGGAGATGCTCTGTAGCCGAAGCTCCTGTATGACGGATGCGATTAGCATACTGTAGCCAGAACTGTGTGAGAAGGATCTGTAGACGGATTTCTCTTGCATCTTCTGCTGGGTATGCAATTTTTTGACTTTGCAGCTGCAGATCCTGAATCGAGGACAAGCTAGTTTCGAACTTTGTGAATATTACTTTAACGGCCAAATGTGATTTCTGTGCAGTGTCACTGCCCAGGATGAACGGGATTACTCAAAAGATATGAAGCCTAGAAGTAATCAGAACAACCCATAAATAAACAGAGATCACAAATAAAGTGTTCTGGAACAAAACCTATAAATAAAAATAACTAGAGTCGCATTTAGTTAGTTTTCTTTTAACGTGTAAGTAACTTTTTGGTAGCGTGCAGAAATACCTACGCACATTCAGTCATTTGCTGTCCAGGTGGATTCTATCACTGGGCCAGGGAGTGGTTCTTTAAAGCCGTCACACTCACACGCTAAACAAACACCTAAGCATTGAGCATAGGAGTTGCACACTCCCTTCTATCTCAGCACATTCTTCCTCTCCACCAGAATCAAAGCTCTTTCCTAAGGGGTGTTATAACATGCAGGGAGGACTTCACAGACCCAAAGTTACTCATACACTGCCTGCTCTGGGTGTCAAGCTGTCCTGGAGCCGTCAGACTCTTTTACCTGCCAGTCTGTTGTTGACCTGATTGTGTTTTCTCCACAGCCAAAGTATGGCCTCATCCAGGGTCTTGACCTGCTGAAGAGACTCCTTGGCCATCTCCTCGAAGTGCTCGCCACACTCCCGGCAGCCGAAGAAGGTCCGGATGTACCTACGCATCGTCTGCAACACCGCCAAGGGGTCCTCCTCAAGGCCTGGGAGACAGGAGCGAATCGGTCAGAAGAGCCACCAAAAGCTGTTCTTCAAAATTCTTACAGCTGGGGGAGGGAGGACCGACCACTCATGAAAAGAAGCAGACAGATGCTAAAATAATGCTCAGACAAATAATAGAAAATTAAAGGGTAAGAGTTTGCATAAAAAAACCACAATACCGAGTAAGTGAGTAACAGACTAAAAGAAGGATTATAATCTGTGGAGGAAGACCCTAGTAAGGGCTACAGAGAACAAACATAAGACCCAGATTTAGCCAGGGATCTGAAAATAGATGTGCAGCTTAGACCGGTTGATCAGAAAGCAGTCCAGATATAATGCTTCAACCAAATCCTTTTTCGATTCTTAACCATTCCAAGTCCCTAAATGCATCTCTTATAAGACGAAGAGCTCAAAAAAAAAGAGACAAAGATCAAATGCGGCCATCTGTCCAGAGAACAAGTAGGCCAAGCTCAAAACAAACGGGCCACTGTGTTTTCTGGAGGTCGTCTGTGATGGCACATTTTTTGCCTGGATGCCCTTTCACAGCCTGATTTGCAAAAAGTGTAAGAAACATGTGTGAATCAGCAGACTGTTCTAATTATGAATTCAATCATTTCTCCCGAAAACGATCGAACAACCATTGCACAAGTATGCAACTACAAAACCTTTTTCCAAAATGATTAAAGTGACTAAACAATAGTATGCTTTCCATTTCCATTTTTACAGTTTATTACAGTTTATTAATTGCTGACATGTATTTGAGCCTTAGGGGACAGAATCCACCGTGCTCTCTCGTGATTTTGCATGGCTAGTTGCAAAATTTAAAGGAAAAGAACAAACATCCTTGTAACACATAATTCTGCACTTCCACATGTTCCAAACAAGAAGATGATTCTTACCAGTGTTGGCCAAAGCATCAGGCCGAAGGGCTGCCTGTACAGTCAGAGTGTGGAAGAGAGTCCACAAGGAACACGGATACCCCCTTAGCTCCGACTGGCTGCCCTGGCAACCGACCCACTGCAGCTGCTCACTCAGGAACATCCCAGCGATCTATGATGTAAAGACATATGCTTACAAGTCTCTCCCTGCTGACTACAACCTGCAAATAATAGTGTCATTTGTTACCAGCAAGCTGTGCCCTTGACTTACACCACAGGATTACCAGCACTGAAGGTCATTGTCCTTAACCTTTGAGATTTAGGATATAGTCGCACTAGGTGATCCATACAATGCCTGAGCACATTTGACCCAAAAGTCCAGTGTGTTTGACTAGTGTGTTTGCTCCATACTGTGCCTAGATGCACTGCATGCAACTACACTGTCAGGGGAAAAAAAAGTACCAATTTGCACCTTTGCTTGTCACGAGGCTGTACCCTCAAGCATCTGCCAGTTTTACCCTATAGCTGTAGATACACGTACCTTTTAGTCTAATTTAAGGTACAGAGATGAGAATCATCCCCAAGGTACAAACAACATTAATGTACCCCCAATGGTACAAAAATGTTCCTCATAGTCCATTTCTGTATCTCTAAAGGTAAGAGTACCTACAATTGATTCGGCCCATCAATTGCAATACATAGTATCAAACAGATTCCTTTGGTGTAGTATTTGCTGGACAATGACAGTATCTAGGAGCAATTCAGTACAGCACACAAAAAATTGGTAAGCACAATTAAATGAAATTCAATGCGCTGCATCCTCGATAAATCAATAACAGGGTTGTGTGTTATCTGCTATCCTTGTCTATCCAGAGAAAAGCAGCTGCTTTGGATGCACTATGAACTGCAGTACAGTAGAAGCTTTCACACTGTTACATGACACTGTTCTTGTTGATATGCTATGTTGAGATGCTAAATCCAAACCCAAGTCAGACCTCAAGATTGACTCACAGATGAAGCTCCCAGCACTTACTCTCATCTTGTTGTTGACCAGATCTAGGATGGCGTCATAAGGAATCTTCTCAAGGGGCAAACTAACCAGCCACTCCAGCAGAGTCTCCAGCAGCTTCACCACGGACTGGCGACCAGGAAAAAGCTGTGCAATGAGATTTCACAGCTGTTAAAACTATTACCAAAGAAAACACAGATCAGGTAAAAGAGCAAAGATCAATTTGTGATTCTCTAAATCCAGGCTAGTTTGCTATAGCCTAATCCTCACCCACTTAGGCTCAAGTTGATTTTACGCTGCTCATTATATTAATCTTTGACAGACTTTAAGGTTCTGGCATCATTGTGGAACCTGGACATGGGTGGAGGCCCTTTATCCCAAAGCCCTCAGACCCAGGATGCCCTCATGTCACCTTCCTCTCAAAGTAGGCCAAGAACCAGGAGGGACTATAGGCTAGCAGTCTTCAGCAGTGAACTAAGCTTAAGGGTTGGCCCAAAACCCCAGTCCTACCCCATAGTAGCATATTACAGGGGCTAGGAAGCCCAGTAGGTGGCCAGCAAAGCCAAAGCCCACTTCTAGCCTAATGCCTCAGCCCTCCAGATTAGACAGAGCACTTTCTTCAAAGGAAGGGAGGTCAGAGAGGGATAAGAGCCTTTTACTCTAATTCGCACTGATCTTCATGCCCCCCCCCCCTGATGCTCACCACAAGCACTTCCTCATTGAAATCACATACACATTTCGTCCAAATGTAAGACACCGGCAAAGTTTTCCTTTCTTACTAAATAACACTAACTTCATAATTCTCCTCATCTTTAAAAGTTCAAGAAATAAATTTAGACAGGTATTTGACAGTTGAGTATACAAGGGAAAATAGCAGTGAACCCCGCAACCCTCACAGCTCTAGGAGCTCGGCGAAGCGGCTTTAAGGGGAACCCAAACACAGATGCTACCTTGGCAACCACCGTTACAAAATCTTTGAAGGTCTTCAGCTCGTCTCCAGTGAGGGTCTGGTGGCTGGCCAGCTCGACTCTCAACAAGTAATGCAAACCTGATTCCATGTCTACCATGTACACTTTAGACCTGGGGGGGGGGAAATCAATAAAAACATAGGTTTATGAAGCTAAATCATGCATTTCAAAAATACACTGCCCGGCCAAAAAATAAAGTTGCCATTTGAATTTATATCAGCAAATACTTAAGAGCCAATGACTGGATCATTATTACAGCTCAGCAACACTATGCAGCAATAAAGTGAAGTCAGCTGAGTACCTGAATCTACTGAATGGCCAGGTTACACCTCCATCCATCATAAATGGATGTTTTCTTCTCTGTTGGCATGGGCATATTCCAGGACAAGAATGCCAACATTCTTGGGTTCGAATTGTCAAAGAGTGGTTCAGGAAACATGAGGAATCATTTTCACGCGTGACTTGGTCACCACAGAGTTGTGACCTTAACCTCATTGAAGGTCTTTGGGACGTGCTGAAGGAGGCTTTATGGAGGTTCAACTCACTTGTCAATACAGGATCTCGGTGAGAAATTAATGCAAATATGGATTAAAATAAAGGGTGAGATGTTGCTTAAGCCTGTGGAAACAATGGCATGCCAACTGTGCGCCATAATCAAAGCTAAAGGCGCTCCAATGAAAAATTCAAATGGAGACTTTTTTTTTTGGCCGGGCAGTGTATATCCTACTTAAAACAGCAGAACAATTTAGTACTAATATAAAACTCAAGAAAATGACAAAAAATAATGTACTTATTCTGAATGGACTGGTTCTGTAATATGAATGTTTTCCAGAAAAAGCATGATCTCCAAGCTGTCAGTGCTTAAGGGGTTTTTAATTTAAAAATATATGCTGCAATGTCCTGATAGGTAGGTGCCACCATACAATACAGCATGCAAAGAGAGCCTGAATAACTATAAATGTTATTCAGAAAACACAGTAAGGTGGCCCCCTATTGGTGACTTTGAGCATAACAATATTCCTCAGTTGGAAGAGAGGTCCTGCATGGTATCATCACTGCAAGAACTGTGGAGCCTTTAAACATGGAAAAATGCAATTTGTACATATAACTAATGCAGCGGATTTACAACTGACAGAATATAATTGTCTCTGGCAATTAAGACGACAACAATTCAACAACAATTTGTTTGAAAAAAACAAAAAAGACAAAACTACTCCAAAAATGATAAAATGTCATAATAGAATGGGCGCGATTTCAAGGTTCGGTTTGTAAACTAACACCATATATTTAAAGTTCAGATATTATCAAGCGTAAGCCTTAAAAAAGAATGAACATTATTCAAGTATATGTCTGAGAGACAACTCACATATAACCCGAAAAAGGCAGGGCATTTCTAAAAATGTAGCAGTCACGCCCCCTATCAACTCAGCCAGAAGATCACTAATACAACACATGACCAGAAGGTGGCATCAGATCACTTACCCATTTAATGAGCAGCAAGGCCAATTAATATTGGACAACTGACAAGCACCGACATCACTATCGAAAAGTGCAAACCTGCTTGTGACTCTAGACTCTTCTCTATTTAGTTTGCGAGGCGCTAAAGGCAGATGGGAGGAGAGAACGGTTGTGCTCACTTGTCAAAGTCCTTCCATATCTCTGCAGGCTTCTGTCCTTTGCTTCCAGACACCACAACCCTCTGGGCAGAAGAACCCCGCTTCCTGTGCACCCCAGGGAGGAGCTTGAGGTATGAGGAGAAGAAAAAGCGCTGACTCTTCTTCCTGTGAGTGGAGTAGCAGAACTGAAATGGGTCTAGTGCGTACATGCGCAGGACAGCTAGGGGGTGCGTGAAGAGTCAGGTGGTTGGAAAATGACAGATGCAACGATTATCTACAGCTGTAGTTTCATTAATAACTATTAAGGGGACTGCAGCTATACATAGAATTGCCACAGTTCAGGAAGACTTTAGAAGAAATTGTGATGAAGAAGAATTCAATGGCCTGATTCAGAGGATTAATTTCAGTTTCTATACTTGGGGGAATAAAAGGCTAAGTTTTACTGTAAAACTTCTAATCAAGCCATAATATTGGAGTCAAATAAGTCAAAGTGGGGTCAAATAAAATTAGTATTCAAACATTTTCCAAAATAATGAAGATTCTCAAGACAGATCAGAAGATTAAAAAACATCTCAATTTGGGTGTGACCTCACATGTCTTAACTATACAGTACGATTAGTCAAGCACACCTCTCTAAAATAACTGAAACTCCCACAACTGGCATGCATCCAGGAAGATGGTACTGGTGTAATCAGGTTACTTACACGTCCATGAGTACATGTGATCCATTGGGGTACAGCAGATACACAGCTGGGACTGAGCTAACACCCAGCCTGTCCAGAAAGGCTTTATCCAAATTCAAGGTTCTCTTCACAGTCATACCCCCATACATCATCAGGTCCAGCATCACCTGAGTCCAAAAAACATTTTAACCAAATCACATCATGTGCGAATGCAGCTTCAAACAAGCCATATTTCTGATGGTTTGTGAAATGGTCGTGCTAAATGTGCAGTCTTCAGTGGAGAGTGTCAAAGGGCGAATGAAGCGGCGAAAACCCAAACAGTAGCAGAGTCGATGACAGGGCCTTTAATGGGTCCAGGCCTGAAGTTACAGCTAAGTCTCCTGCTGTTATTTTAAGTGTATCAGCACAGAGACCCAGAACCTACAAAACAAACAAAGAAAAACAAAACAAAACCTCTCTGCCAATGTAAGAATCTTCTTCCTCTATGATGACGGCAGTGTAGTGGTCAGCTTTCTGCCCCACGAGAGAGAGGATTTCAGCCGACCTGCAATCGGAAGCAGAGGGTACGTCTGACATCATGGAGATGGTGTCCCATTTCATATCTATCCATTTAGCATTTGAATATTTAGGAGAAGGATGTATCAATTCAAGCACGTGGTACCTGGAGGGCTCCAGAGGGGGGCACTGTGGAGGCCAGACCTCCGGCGTGTGGTTCTGGAGGAAATTCACCATCAGCTGCCTCACAGTTTGCAGTTCCCTGTCTGGCCCTGTGGTGGAAGAAAATTATTTGGCAGTGACAACAATATCCCATCAAGGTACCAACTTTATTCATCTCACTCCAGTTGGATTCAATCCAACTCCAACATGGATTCAGTGTCAGACAAAATAAGTAGTACTATTACATTATTGCAGTGCCTCATACAAGAAACTCTATTCAACCCTATATACAAAGCTTTGTGGTCTAGTCTTTATCCATTATATTAAATTATCAAAAGAAAGCAGTGTTATATTATATAGTTTAATGGGAGCCAATGAACGCAAAAGCAGTGACACTTCTGGGGGGATTTGACGTACAGTATAATGGATAAATCTTTCAGTAGAAACCAAACATCTAGGCCATTATCCACTTGGCAGAATATATTTTATAGAGACACTCACCCTTGTAGGCTTTTCCGATATCAAAAGTGCTGCTACGTGCTTTGAAATACTGTGGGAGATTAAAAAATAAACCCATTAACAGCAACATCTTAGAAAGCAAAACACTGAAATAAAAAACACCCAAATCATTACAATGTTATGAGGGAGAATCAAAAAGTAACAAGACCTTTATGGTTACCACGGCATTTCCAAATTGCCTGTATTTTAACCTCAGATAATTTTTTTTCACTTTTTACTACTAGGTACCAATGTAACTGCAAGAACAGAAGCCACATTTTTCTATCCACAAAAATACAATGAAATGAGCAGATAAAATGGTGACAGGCACATGTCCATGTCTAACACATACCCTGAAGGTCGGGTAGAAGTGAATGCCAAACTCTTTACAAATATCAAAGTTCTTTTCATCAGCACAGTCCAGCACTCCTATTCTTATGGCCTGCTCCCAGTCTATAAATAGGGGGAAAAAAAACATACAAAATATTTACACAGAAGCTGAAGGCAATAGAAAACATTCCTGAATTTATGTTTTCTCCACCAAATGTGTGCACAGAGAAGAATAAGTGACATACACAAGCAAAACAAAAGCAGTCCAAACACAATCTAACCGGAACATGTCTTTCTCACTAATGGAATCCCTGATATATGAGCATCTGCTGTGAATGAGACAGCCGGCACTGCTTTCATTGCATTTATTTATTTAGCAGATGTTTTTCCCCCAAGGCTACGTACAAGAGAAGTGAGCTTGGCTCTCACAATACCACCAGCTTTTTGAGCAACTTAACTTACAGTCAGTCTGATCAGCCTTGCATTTGCTTGGTTGTTGGTTTGTCTCCCCTTAGCTCTGTAAATGTATAGTTCACATATTCTTCTGGGGTTTTGCACAGATCTCTTCCCACAGGAAATGCTATCCCTACATTGGACATATATGAGTGTGTGCGAGTGCGTGCCACCCAGGGTGTTTCAGGACCTCGATGTCTGGTGTAAGATCATTAAAAATCTAATAAAAAAAACAACTACAAGAGCCAATACAACAATGACTACAGATAATGAACACAAAAGGACAATATTATAAATCACGGAATTACATAAATACAAAAATACCAAATTAAAATCTGATCCCATATCTACAATTTTAGTTGTTCATTATACTGTTCAGCATGCAAATCGTAAAAGCCTTAAGAGAAGACCTTTGCAACAATTTGTAAAACTGTAGCACTATTCATACAAGGGACCAGAATGAACAGAATTCCACAGTAGATGGGTTCATATGAAACTCTGCCCTTTACTCTGGAATGGGGAACAATGAGGAATCCAACTGACAGGCAAGCTAGGCAGGAGGCTTACGGAGCTGGCTGTTAGTGTTTACGATATAGCGGTTAGCGGTTCGTTAAGAAGCGAGTAGATTTACAGATATCTCTGCAGGCTCATCAGGAAGCATTGCAGCACTGTGTGTTTTCCCACAGTACAGAAGTCGGCAACCCGGTTAGACTGCAATTTCATGCACGTACACAATCAAGGCTTAACAGAGACACTGCAAGCAGGCAAAGCGACAGATGGACAGCTTTTCAGGGGCAAGACAATATGAACAGGCAGAGCACTGGGGTGGGCTTTTTTAAACTAGAAGCTTGGGGCGTGTGGCTGTAGAGGGCCCCCGTGCGGTAACCCTCCACCTGTCCCCCATGCAGAACACACTCCTAACAGAGTGGGGGAATGTACGTCGAGGTCAATGTGGGACAAAGGGGCCAGCTGACCCCGACGGAGAGAACAACAGCTGGCAGGCCGTCACTAGTGAGCCAGCCAAACGACAGCTTGCTCTCACAAAGGCACACAGGAAAGTCTACATGAAGTCTGCAGCAGCCATAGCTCTCAGAAAGAGAGGATTCCCTAGGTCTCCATATCTGTAGAAAAACAAGGCAGCAGTGGACCTGAACCACAAACACAGATATCTAACGAGAGTCAATGCTCTGGTGAGCCCAGCTTCATGAATCTCTGCACTCACAAGAGCAACATCAGAAAGACTAATAAAAATGAGTAAAAGTTCCAAAAATGAAAAAGCAGCAGCAAATTTCTTGAAATGCTTATAAATAGAAAATTCAACTAAACAATTCTAAAACAACTGTTTTCCAAACAAGAAAGTTAGCACTAGGTACTCCTAAGATTCCACCATTGTTACCATTTTCCGACACATATACTTAAGGGGGGGGGGGAAAGGGTGGAATCCCACACAGGAAAGATCACGTAGGGTATCAACACTTAAAGCACCATAATTATCTGAGGAATGCCTTGAGCACAGGGTGTTTGGGTGTCTGGAGGGACAGCAGAGGCAAACCCTACAAGCAGGGACCACCAGATCCCAAAGTCAGCATTCTCCTCAGCACCAACCACATTTTAAGGCAGGGTCCCAGCATTAGCCTCTCCAAGCTCAAGAAAAACACCAGACTCAAGCCTCAAGCCATAAAATTACGCCTCCAAGGCTTTGAAGGCTAAGGACAAAAGGCAGACAAAGCCATTCACAAACGGCTGAAAATACTATATCCAATAATGGCCCTGAAGGAAAATAAAACCTCAACAACAAGCCAGATATCATTGACTGTCTCTCCATGGCCAAACCGGCAGAGCTTTGGACAGTGGATGAGGACTGTGACCTACAATGACCACCTGAGGAAGATGGTGATGCAGGAGGTAGTGCTATCGTTTGGTTCCTCCTGACCCCATCAAAGTGTCCTTGAGCAAGACACTGAACCCCAAATTGCTCCCAGTGTGCAGGTTGGCACCTTGCATGACATCTTCGCCACCAGTGTATGAATGTGAGTGTGGATGGGTGAATGTGAGGCATGTTTTGTAAAGCACTTAAGTACTCGTAGGAGTAGAAAAGTGCTATATAAATGCAGTCCATTTACAAATTATGTTACTGCTGTAAAATACAAGATAAGCATGTCCTGGATGTTTGCGGTCTGCTCTTCTTACTTCATAATACGTTGGCTTTTCTGGGAACTTATCGCAAAAATTTCTACATATATGTGCCTGGATTAAAAAAATATGTAATGAACCAGATATTATTATTCTTACATATTTATTCTTTCATGGGTGGCAGCAGTGATGACAACACTGACGGGGAGACATGACCAGAGGCAGCCTGAGTCATTCCTGGGTACCGACGACCTGCTTTGATGCAAGCGACCCAAGGCGGTACATCAAAAGGCAGGAGTGGGTTATGAAACCTTCACAGCCGCTCGTGCCCCACGGCTGTGAGCGACGGCCTCCACGTGCTCAGCAGCTTTGCTCCACTAAAAGGCAAATGTGAGGCCGCTGCTTCCCACAGGTAATATCATGAGCACCCCCAGTGCCTCTGCAACTCTCAATCAGATGGAAAGAAGGCCAAGTCCCGCTTCTGTGACCACAGCACGGTCCAGTTTCAGGAAGGACCTCTTGCAGGTCTTTTGATTTCAGTAACAGGAATAAGTCCTAAACAATGATGTGCTGTTTCCAAGTTCAACTATTTCGATTTAATCTTAGTAAGCTAATCATTTGACGTTCCAGCATGCCAGAGCTCTTCATGAGAATGGGAGAGCACAATACTGGGCACTGTTCTTAGTGTATCCGGGGGTTACTGGGGCAAAAAAGGCAAAGGAGGAAGGTAGAAGGCTAATTATTAAGAGGTTGTCCACAGTACACATCAGTCAGGGGACTATAAATCCTGAATTACAATGACACAAACAAGTACAACACGTCAACCAGTCCCATTGCTATTTATAGAAACTGCAGGACAACTTGATGAGGCATGGCCAGAACGGAATTGAACAGGACAGCTTAATTTGTCCTTCCAGGGACACATCAAACAGAAAGACAGACACTTTCAGCTGTATTAAAACATTAAAACACATTCGCGAACCTTACTTCCCACATATCATCAAATCATCCATGAAAAACCAAAACATCCAATTAATAAAGTTACAAGGACCCAACTTGGGAAGATGACAGCAAAGGTGTTCTCACTAAAGCCCCACGTATGGGTTTAGACACAACCGTAACTCGCGGTCGCAGATAAATAAACACCATACATTTTCAGTAAAATCGATATGAATAAAACCAATCAAAATGCTAATTCATATGTTCATTCGGGCATTACGCCGATTCATACACGAAATAAGCTTCTCCGATTCTCTACAATGTACAACTGAGACGAGGTACAGGGAGACTTTACTGATCAAGTCAGATGCCCGAAGCAGGTGAATGACGAGGCCTTGAAGACAGTGTTTCTCGGGGTGTTGGGGTGTCGGCAGAGTGAAACCCGACAAAGAGGGACCACCAGATCCTAAAGCCGGCGTCCTCCTCAGCATCATTCGCGTTTTAAAGCGGCGTCACAGCGGCTCGTCACCCGAAAGCAACGTTACCATACCCGTTTACTCTGAATGAACCGTTTTGGTCCGGTTACACGGTACAAACGCTGGCTAGCCAGGTTAGCAGCTGGCGTCTGCGTCCGAACATTAGCTCCCGGGCTAACTGGGTGCCCGAAGGCGAACGGCGAGGACTTATCCACGGCCACTCACCTTTTATATCGCCAGCCAGCGCTTTCCAGGTCGTCGAGTACTGGATGCAGTGGCCGCACCACGACGAGTAAAACTGCACCAGCCAAGCGGTGGACGAGTTGAGCAGCGTTTCCTTCAAAGTATCGCTCGACAAAATGGTCAACGGATCTTCCTTCGAGTACAGCCGGCCAGCCTGGACCCGCCAGGACAGCAGCACAACAAAAAGGCATTTTAATGACCAGGCTAGACCTGAAAGAGCCGAACTTCTGCTCCAGAAGCTGGCCATGTCGCTCCACTGGTACGATTATGTGGGGAGAAGCTTTGCTCGGAAACGGCTGCACTGCGCGTGCGCGGTGTCACGTAGCATGGCAGTCGCGTGGCTAGGCGTGTATTGAGAAGACAGTGGAAAGTACATTACCTACATCTATCTATCTATCTATCTACCTATCTGTCTGTGTTTGGTTTCGTGTGTGTGTCACTGTGGTCACTGTCTGTCTGTCTCACCACATAAGATCAAAATTTACATCAGATAATCAGCTGATAAAAAAATCCTACGAGCTATAAAGAAACAAAGAAACGGGCGATTTCTCAACTCAGAGAAATCCAAGAAAAAAAAAATGCACCAGACAGTTGTTTTTTTTTATGAAAAGAGGAGAATAAATCATAGAGGCATATTCTTTGGGAGTACAAATTTTACTTATGTTAATTAACCCATCAAAGTCCTTGGAGTTAAACAGTTGCGAAATTGTTCTTCATTTCAATTGATTAATACTATTTTGGTAGATTAACAGTAACAGTGCCTTCACTTAAATGGAACAATACAGCCATCCTCAACAGAGGGATATGTAAAATAAAAGATGGATATGCTGACCGTTTGTGTTTGCACTATGAAACCAAGACAGGATCTTATGTGATAAAAAAACATCCTTAAGGCATATGATACCATTTACGCAAACAAAAAAAACAACAGAATAATATACAAGGTATTGCCAAACTGGATGTGTACTTTTCAAGGGATTTAACCGCATGTTTTGTTGAATACTTATAACTATGATGCCAGACCTGCTTCACATGACCTTGGCTACTGCAGTCAGAGGTGTTTCCTGATGAAATGCACAGACACCTGCTTCTTTAATTTATTTATATGATTTGGTCTCTGCAGGCACTTTTCAAACTTCACATTCATAAACCATGTGAGCTAACTTCTACTGCCCTGCTACTTTTTCCATTGTCCACCGAGTTCAGAATTATGCATTCAGGCCCCGTCCTTAGATCAGCATGCTTGGGCCAATAAGAAACATTTACAGATTTAGTTTTGGATTACCATAACATTATGATGACAGTTATAACTAAATGAATAAATTACAAAACCGACCAACATGAACTGAAGTTGAATAAGGTACAGAAATATGTTTTTATGAGAGAAAGGGCTCCCATGCAAAATCAGCGCAGAAGAGCAATGATGAAACAATGAGTTCTATAAAAACGTAGGTATCTAATCCATGTTTTATGGTTTTGTGGGAAAATGACATACAACAATGTAAAGCAAAGCAAAATAGATAAATAATTTAATTAGATTTAACATCACACCTTAGGTGTAATAAAAAAATAATATAATGTTAGAAACTACGAAACAGGCAAACAAAAAGCAGGTTATAACAAGAACACACCGAGAGGTTGTGGGCTGCATCATATCCTATTTTATAACCTTTCTCCCAAACAATCAGTTTGCCAGAGTAGGCTTATAGAATGTAGCCTATATAGGTGATTATCAAGATAAAGTCACCATGGAAGAACACTGAGACAAACAAGAATTACAAGGAGGTCCCAGTATCAACTATTTGTCTTTCACAGGAAAAAAATGAAAAATTATGATATTTAACACATAAAACAGCAGGGAAAAAATTTTCATGTAATCCCACATGATTTAACACAGCTTTATATTGCTTTTTATCTAAAATCATCCTACCTCAATTCACATATGGAAGGGAGAGTTATTTGCAGTACATTGACATTTATGAATTATGAGAGGTGTCTCTTTATTACTGTATGTAGTCTTGCTCCCGTTGACCAAATGCAGGTTGGGATGCTTGTATGGCTGGAGGATTGACATTAGGGGGTGCTGTGTAGATTTTGTTTAGGGTTGACATAGTGTCCAGCAGAAGGATGTTGAAGATCTCATCAGCCAGTCTAATTTTGACTGCGAGCTGGTCAAGGTTGTAGTCTAGCCACTGAAGTTCTTCTTTATGAAGCTCCTGGATCTATCCATTAACACAGACACAGTCCGGCAGAGATAGTACATTTTTAAATTATAAAACAATTCAGAGTTTTGCTGACACGCTATAATTTCAAGTGAACGTATCCATCGAACTACAATAACTAGTTTTGTGTGTGGGTGGATGTAACTATTTTACTTCATTAGCATGGGAAAATTAGAATATGCAGAGAAAGATCATAGATAATAGTGGTTGTTTCTTTAAAATTTTGCTCTGCCTTAATATGCCAGTCTGTCAGAACTGTTTCCAGTGTCAGCTCAGTAATATCAATAGCTTTTTTTCTAATAGCTAAGAAAGTAAACAAGTAACAAAATAATGGGTACTTCAAACATGTAATGTCTGTCAGGTAAATGTTATGCCTGATTGATTGTTTCATATTTATGGAATTGTTTAACTGATTGACCATAATTACAGGTGATTAATGTTTAAAATACTGATTTATAACTGTCTGTGAAATTCATTTACAAATAATTATGTAAATAGCACATCTTTGACAAAAATGTCAAATATAACCTTAAACTCATGATCTACTTACCTTTCTATTGATTAATATACATGTTATTCCCTATAGGTAGATATTTTCTGTATGTAATTGTAGATTTGCAGATATCTAGTGTAGCTATTCTGACATGGGTAATAATGGTGCAGGGCTGGACGGCTTTCATAATCTATACTCTGCATACCAGTATGTAGTCCACTTTGTCCCGCTGCGCGTTCCCATACTTGCACATAACCTGGAGCATTTCTCTCATCTGCACATCATTACGCTCCAGATTCAGCGCTCTCTGCACCTCATTTTGGACCGCTGCCTGAAAAAAGCCATTAGAAAGGCTACAATAATTATATATCCCGGTCGATACTGAGTAGTGATGGTTCATGTAAATACAGACTAGGTATGTCAATATAAAGTAGGATTAGAACCCGATGCACATTATCTTTAATGTGTTGTTTCAGCACACAAACACTGGGTATTATACTCTACAGAATAGAGTAGTCAGACCCAACCATCCATTTTAAATGGGTAAGACAGACAAAATCTGCCTACCAGCATTTTTATCATTACAGTCCACAGACGGCTCCTCCAGTCATCAAATACTGTATTTGATCTTAGTGCCAAAAGATAGCGCTGTCAGTGTTGAAAAGTCTTGCTTTTCTCTGCTCCGTTAAGTGAAATGAATAGCTAGTTTTGTGCGTGGGTGGATGTTTACTGTGAATATGACATGAGAGTCAGCAAATGAATATGAATATCTTAGTAGTAGTAAAACAAGTTGTATAGTCTACATATGTATTTAACTGTATATAACTATGGTAACAAATTTGGTAACATGACAATTAGACATTATGATGTTTAAAGTTTTACAGACGCTCCGCTACTTACGAATGAGATACGTTCCGAACGGCCGTTCGTAACTTGAAATGTTCGTAAGTCGTTATTCAACATTATTTTAACGGTATACGCAAGTACTAAGAACTAGGATGCTGCGAGTACGCACACTACGCTGCTGCGCGGCGGGAGTAGTGGCCAGACATCGTAATAGGTGGAATTGGTGCACAGAGAAAAAAAATTGATGCTGCGGAGAGCCCAACGGGAAACGGGAGCCCAATGAACACAATTTGGACTTACAGCCCTCTTCGTTTGTATGTCAGAAAGTTCATAAGTTTTAAGTTCGTAAGTAGACGAGCATCTGTACTCATTGTTACAATTTATTTTAGAGGGGTTTATAGACTAAAATAAAAAACAGAAGATGGTAAGAAAAATAAGCTGGTTATTCCTGACAGGAAACGATTGAAAGTAGTGAACAGTAAGAAAACTGGAGATTCATTACCTCTATCCAAACTATTAAAATATACTAAGTTTTTTTTTTTTTTTTTTACCAAAAGACTTTACCTTCACATGTGTGAGAAGGGACTTGCTTGGGTGGACTGTTGAAAGAGATAATGCTTGATTTGTTTGCCGTGGAAACCCACATGCGGTTGGATGGTCCCGTGAAATCTCTTCAAATACCTCTGAGGTGAGGTCGTATATGACCTGAAACACAGGCACCATTATGTGCCTTCTGTCATGTTACCATTTTCATGCAGCAGCTCCGCAGTTTATACATACCTGTTGGTAAGATCTGCGACTCTCCCCATCGATTAAATGATCAGGGGCATCTGTGATATCAACCTTGCAACTTATAGTTTGACCGCAAAGTCTCTCCACAGCGCCTGCTACAAGATGGCGGATGACCATGGGATCATGCGGCTGGATTTTGAGGTTTACTGAAGATGAGAGCGCGCATTGCCACTGATCGCTGAATTCCAGTTGGTTTGCTCTAGTAAGATTATCCTCCCTCTTTTTTACATTCTGCACGGTTGAAAGAGAGAAACACACAATGCAAGAAAGGGGGCGAAATAAATAAATGCAAATGTATAGAACCCAATTTTCCAGTTCAGAGCCTTATAAAACCTGTTCTAAATAAAACAACACTTATTATGCAGACATGCCAACAACACATTTTTTGATTCTATGGTTACTTAGCTGTATACTGATTTCAGTAGGTTCGTACTAAAATTCTGATCATGAATATATCTTTAATGAGAATTTTTTTCTGGAATTTCTGTTTTGGGCTACATGCATCTTGAGATCTAAAATAGAGTCAAGCTGAGAATTTTAACGAGTTAATTACACATTTCAAAACTGTCTCCAGTTAATAAATAATGTATATCTGCCGCTCTACATTACTTACTCTATCAAGAATCTGGCTGTCATTTTGGAAGCTTCTCATTCGTCGATGTCTCCTCCTGAGTTCCTGAGCATCCGTCATGATGTCCTTTACCAAGTCTCCTGCTAATTTTTCGACCAGAGAGTTTAGATCATGGTGGCACTTGCTAAAAAACCTTACTGTTTCTATCTCTTGTACATCAAGGATGGGGTTGTCATGCTGTACTTCTTGGACTGCAGCTCCTGGTGCAAAGTCCTTCAGGGAACCCTGATCAATGAATGATTCGATAGGTGAGACTAAAATGGGATTTGTCTTGTTGGCACAGAGATTTAACAGATCCTCCTGTCCCCTCACACATTCAGAAAATTCAGCATTGGAAGGATAAGGAGTGTTTTGGTGGAAATGATCTGATTTGAGTCCATCAAAGCCAGAAAGTGCAAACTTGTTTAAAGTCGTATTATTAGTAGACTGTTGAAGCTGGTAACTTGGAGTTTCTGATAGTAGATGATCACATGTCCCTATAAGTTCTGAACAGGTGTTGTTATTTGGTTCTTGAAGTGGAGTTACATCTTTGCATGTCATTTGGGGACCTGAAGAATCATCTCGTAATGGTTTTTTGCTTATATGTTTTCTTTCATCACCTGAGTATCTGGCTTCTCTCCATCTATTTTCTTTTTTATCATCACTAGATGGTTCGTCATCTGAAAAAGGATCATTATGCAGGGTGGACTCCAAGTCGCTTTCGCGTTCCTCATGTGGAATATCTTCTGCCCTGACAAGGATCCCACATTTGAAGTATTCCATATCTTTGAAGGTTCCATTGTGATTTCTGGTTGGGCTGTCCAATGTCACACCTGCCCAGTTCCCACCAGAAAATGCTGGCATTTCTCTATCTTTCCATTGACTGGGCATAGAGTGGCAAAACACAACTCCCTCACCAACACTGAAGGAGGACACACGTTCTGAACAGCCTTCAGCGTCTTCTGCTTCAGAAATAATAAGGTTTAAAAGAGGATTTTTGTCTTGGGTCTTACATCTGTTATTGTCACTTAATTTCTTGTATGGAGAGGTAGTTTCTGAGTTTGTTATTAAGAGGTCTGATTTTAAATCCTCATAATTTATTGCTTTATCTGTTTGTCTGTTTGATTCCTCCTGGTTTACCAAAAAGAGAAAATCCTCAGAGAGAGATGGCAAATCTTCACTTATGATGGATGGATCCTCGGTTGGGCTCTTGTTAGGCTGGGTTTTATCCAGACCTTCAAAAGGAAGAGCAAAGTCCTCTTCGCTGGTCCAGGTTATGATTTCACTTGCAGGTGGGGGAGGTGGGTAAACATAATTGCCCATGTCTGACCCTGTAACTGCCGTTAATGATGGAAGGAGTTCAGCGCTGCCATACGACAGAATCTCATCCACTGGAGACAGGATCTCTGACAGAGTTTCCTCGGAAACCAGGGTATTCCATGAGGGAAAATCCACTGGGTTATTTATCCCTGATTTTTGTCCGAGCATTTGTTTTTCCAGTGATATTGGATCAATGTCAAGAAACAGTTGTTTTTTTTTGCATCGAAAAAAGTTTGATTGCTCTGAGCTTAAAAAATCAGACCTTTCGATCTCAAGCTGTCGCATCGTAACTAAATTGCTGTTTTCTCCCCCATTACCCAGTTCATTGTTGAAAACCATTTCATCCCCTGAGGAAACCAGACCTTCACTGCTATGGGAGAATGCTTCTGACTTCTCTTCTGTGTCTAAAGGACCCTCATCGGCAGAAGAACTTTCATGACTAATGTCTATGTCCCCATCACCTGTATCCTGGACTGAAGAACTATGAAAATGACTGGCCATGACAGGAGATATCTCTTGCTCATGCTCTTGCTGTACATCTCCTCCAGCACAAGTTACAAGTGATAAACACCGATTTGCACCCGCTCCTATAGTGCTACCCCCAAGGTTGATGTTAATAGATGCCACATTTTCTAGTCTTTGGTAGTTCTGAAGATTACAGGGAACAGTATTCCCACTTGTTAAATCGATCTTGCACTCAATGCAAAGATTAGAGCTAGTACCCATTGTGGACTGACAATTTTTTTTGCTACAGGGGATTTGATACTTACATTTGCTGTCCTCTAAATCAAAGGGCAGATCCTCATCGATATCTGATGAAGACACCGACACCTCCGACACATTTATACAGATGGCAACTGCTCTCTGGAACTCAGGGAGTGATGCAAATGAGCCAACAGTTTTCTGAGACCTCCAAGAGCCATCAGGGGAATTGGGCAATGATCTTATTCTAAGAGGTCTTCCAGAATATGACGAGGATGACGATGATGTCAATGATGCTGATGCTGAAGATGATTCATCTCCTGAGGATACATTGCCATTACTTTTTCCCCGAGAGTCACGTTTCTCCTGCAGACGTATGTGAGTTTGCTGTGGTTCCTGTCCTCCTTTTGCTGGGTCTGAAAAATAAATACTGCATATCGATCACCAGAACACACGGTCCAGCTTAACAAGACTGATGGGATTGTTTCGCCGTCTTCCCTGCCGTCACTAGGTCTGAAAAATAAATACTGTACATTGATTACCGGAACATGGGCCCCCATTTAACAAGATTAACCTCAGAGTATTATGGGATGCGGAGAGCCTGCATGGCACCCAGCACTAGCACACCGAGACTGCGTAATCAGTTTTAGTGCTTATCATTTATCAACACTGAGATGCTCTTAGCCCGTGAAAGTGATCAGTACTTAGTGGTGGTCCACACAAAAGGTGGTTTACTTCTGTTGCCAGACTGTATAGAAAGAATCATACTGATAACAGTTTCCATTTTGCATTTCAACTAAAAACAGACTATGATACAAAATAATTTCACAGCATTAACATACTTCAGGGATGAAGGTTTATTTGATGTGCAGATACAGCAATAGAATGCAAGATATCATCCTGTCGCTGCCATATAATAAATAATATCCATTTAAAACTTGACACCTCTAAACAGTCTGTGGCAGACGTACACTTTAATGCAGCCCTCGTAAATAACATATCAAGGGGATTATTTTACATCCCGGTCTGATCATATAAAATGATGTAATCATATTTTGGTGAAGCCAATAGGAAAGGCGCAGCTGCTACATGGGTCTCGTGTTCGGTGTGAGTACATCTGCGTGGGGCAGTCATTCAGCTGAAAGGCAGGCATGAGTCAGCAAGCCTGTCCCTTGACGGTGAATGGAGCCCTCAGTGGGACCCCCCACCCTGCCACTTAGAGATGGCAAAGGGAGTTCATGTTTCCCAAGGAGAGCCGATCTCTCTGTCTCTCATGCCCCTACCCACCACATACGCGGTATAATGCTTCTGGCAGAATGTGGCTGAAATAGGCCTAAATCTCATTGACATCCTGCTGATAGTAACAGCCAAGATGAGCGCCAGTCTGATAGGTGTGGCAGCTGAGGGTGAGGGACTACGAAAATGCGGATTTCCTATTAATGACTATTGGCTGAATTTTTTTAAATGCAACATATTATGATAAGCTAGAGGAAATTTGTATTAAGTCTTTTATTCAAGTTTTTTAGGATTACTGAAAATGTCTTTCTTACTAAATGTGGCACCTCTAAAACTGAAGTCAATTTATATTTGTGACGGCATTGCTGTGTTAAGGCCCGTGTGTGAGGCGTGTTGGCAGAGGTGCTGTACAAATGCTCTGCTGTACATCTGTAAGGATCTGCTGCTGATTCCCTCGGGGGAATTATGTCAGGATGTATCAAGATGACATCATAAAGCAAGAGCTTCTGAAGTCACCCATTGATACTCTCTCTTTATTTCACACAAAGAATGTCTTACCCATTGTGGTAAAACAAATGTAGTACTACAGCCTAACCCAGTAACCCAATCTGTACGTAAGACACACGGTTTCCCCCTCACCTGTTTCAGCACTGTCATCCATCGTCTTCACCGGCTTGTGTTTTTGCTGAGGTGTCCCCTCCTTGCCTTGGAGAGTCTCCTCAGACTTGCCGTGTTTTCTCGAGCCCCTGGGTGAGGTCTTAGGGTAACCGGTCTGCGTGGCCCTGATACCCTGCAGCACATCCGGCTCTGTCAGGCCGGCTTCTCCGCCCTTTTTCTCCTTCCCCCAGCTCCACACCTCCTCAGAGAAGAGCCTCCTTAGCCCTGAGTCCGTCTTTGCCAAAAACCTGTGTCGAAAGTTTCCAATATCCCAGGTGACGGCGCTGGCTAGATAGGGTGGCCCACTTTTCCTACTAGTCAAATTAAGTATTGCTGATAAAGAAAACCACAAACTGTAAATTCTCTAACCTTGGCCAGGAAAACTGTCCCTCATCACACGTTTGAGAATAGGCGATACATAACAGGAGTCACACTTTCCATGCTGTGCTGTTTACTGAAGTATCCTGCTCTGAAACGCAGCATTAAAACTCTGCATGTGTATAAATGGCTCCCAAATTACTACATTTCTGCCAGTTGCCCCCTCAGCTGCGGCACTCTTGCTGTAACCGTGTCAGGCAAATTACAGGCCTGCTTGTATCTAGCGGCTTGTATCTGCTCCTGCTCTGGCCTCTTTTTCTTTCCCGTGCATCCATGCTCTGCACTCAGGGGGGAGAACCGTAATGTCAGCCGCTCTTTAGCGGGACGCACTCCCCGGGGGTCATAGTGGGGAGGGAGAGAATGGCAGAGGCGACGGCATGCTCTGAAAATGGATGTGCTGCGCATGCAGAGGAGCAGCACATGCGGTGACAGAGAGAGCTCCACCTACCCCGGCTTGCTCATGACTGGCATAGTGGCAGTACTTAGCTGTCAGGGACGCTGCAGCCCACTTCCAAAGGCAGGATGTCCTATAACAGGTTTCCCTGAGCCAGGCTGCCGGCACACAGCCGCCCCAGCTTTCATTTCAGCTGCGTGGGCTGCGTGGGCTGCGCGGGCTGCGCACGCCGGTGCGTGGAGCCTCCCTCCAGCTGGGCTGTCTTTCAGTTTCTTTCCTGATGCTCTGCCTCTCCTTCCCTGACCAGCCTGCTCCACTCTCCTTCTTTCCCATATCTAAGTCTCTCTCTCTGCACCCTCTCTCTCTCTCTCTCTCTCTCCCTCCCTCACTCACAGTCCCTCTCTCTGCTCCTCTCTCCCTCCCTCTCTCTCTTGCTTTCGCCATCCCTCTTCATAACCGCTCTTGCTGCCTCAGTATAAGACAGCTATCATGCAAGCATGCCGTGCCTGCTCTCCCCAAGACATAAAAAGGTTATTCTTCCTCTTTTTTTTAGAAATCAACTTTCAGCTGCTTATTCCACCCTGCTGCTCAGCATTTATTCTCAGCTTAAAAGCGAATGAATAGTCCAAAGAACAACCGCACACGGCAGCTTTTCAAAATCTTATTACGTTCCGTCATACACGGGCATGTACGGCCAGGCTGATTAAATTTACTCTGAAGTACTGCTTCTGAAAGACCTTCCAGCTCTTTCTCTTGCCGCTTTGTGATATTTCTCGCCACAGCTGCATCGTCCCAAAAAGCGAAGGTTTCAGTCTTAAAGAAAGACCCGGAAAATGCTGAGCCGTTAATGTGTTTGTTCATTTACATGGGAGGCTTGTTTGATGTCGCTGCTCTCTAATGAGTTTTTCATCATACATCAACACTGTTTATGCTTAAAAATGGAACAGTCATGCACAGCCTAGAGAACCGTAGTAAAGTGAACATGAATACAAAGACACCCCTAGAAATATCACGGTGCCGAGATGGATCACGCTAAAAGACATGCTGGTTCATGACCTGTGCTGCAAATAAAACCTGGGAATGACAGCTATATGTGAGTTTTATTACAGCTGTATATATATTGTACTCAGTCATTCACAAAGCAGTCGCTATGAGTACGTTTTCCTTATCTGCTTACACTCACATGTCTTTTGCATGGCGTGAGCTGTCCCGGGGTCCGTGTGCATCCCTGATGCTCTGTGGTGCTGCTGCCTGCTCCGGCTGCTCTTCACTGACCACAGTACTTTGACTGGCATTTCCTCGGAGCATTCACATGCACAAGACAAAGGCTATATAAATACCACCCACAGTCATACAAAGAAAATGCTTTATCAATCAATAGAAATATTGATTCGTTTTTACCCATACAACTAGCTAATTAATTAATGTCCCAACAGCAACAGCAATAATCAAATAGCTGTTTTTCAGTGCGGGGGGCCCGCAGCGCTGTGTTTTCGTCCTCTGTCTGGTCATTTTTCTTTTGTACATTTTTTTTCTGGGTTGAAAAGGTTTAGGGGTGTATTCTAGTTTTTCATCTTTAATTCAGGACCGTCATTTTGAATTCGGAACTTTCTAGGGTAAGAGTCCTTGCACTCTCAGCACATTGGTCTGCTCTTTGAGAGTGGGCAGCTCGCTACAGGAGATGGGATCTCATGGCTTGATCTGAGGCTGCATTTCGCTGCTCCGGGTTTTGCTGGATTTCTGCAGTTGACCTTTCCACATCCAGAAATTCCTTCTGCTTACAAAGTGCTCATTTTATTTGGTGCCTTTCGGATCTGCATATATCTGCCTGTGACTAAGAAGAATAACTTTTCAATGCTTTGTTACCTTCACATACTGGTACTTTACTCTATAGTACTTGATTAACCAGCCGACATTTTAAAGTTTTTTGTTAGGTGATTTAACAAAAACAAGTGCATGTTCTACAGTTTTTCACATAGTTTCGGAATATGGCTTCCAATTTGCCGCCACACGCCTGGTTTTGTCACAATTTACATTAAAGGTTCAACATAAATTATAGCAAATGTTACATTAAAGAAACAGTTCATCGTGTCTTTGCTGGTCACTTAGCACCGTGAGACTGTTTCCGGTATGATTTTCTTGTGTATGAAGCATCAGGATTTTGTCTGTACAGACTCCAACAATAATCAGCCATCACATTTACATTCCAACGTCCTTGGTATCTTCGCTCCATTTCACTAATATCTTGGTGAAATCTCTCACCTTGCTCCTCACTATACTCACCCAAATTTTCAGGAAAGTAATTAAGGTGCGAGTCTAGGAAATGCATCTTGACACTCATTGTACATCCAAGATCTTGAAAACGACATATCATATCCTTGACGTGAACCTCATAGTCAGATGACTTCTTGTTTCCGAGAAATCCATCAACGACTTTACGGAATTCTTCCCAGGCTTGCCTCTCCACTGTCACCATTTCGGCTGCAAATACACTGTCCTTCAGCAACCTTCTTATCTGTGGTCCACCTTCCGGTACTGAGTGACAGGACCGGAAAGCGGACCACAGTTCTGCATACAAAGGTCGGCGTCAGTGGACCCGCAGCAACATGCCTGTAAGTTTACATAACTGCAAGCTGCCTGTAAACCCTGCTGACTAGTTTGTACAAAAAATTAGTCTATGACAGGTTACTGGTGATTTTATATCACTGGTATCAAAGTGACACTATTAGGTATACAATGCATTATATATGAAAAAAAGTTAAGTCGAAATCACAGAAAAAACAGACGTGCTGGAGCAAAACTAAATATACTAAAAATGTTTGTTTATGAAGGGTGTTTGAAAAATGTCATTTGATATTATTCACCATATTTGATGTGGGCTAGTGTAATTTATTTCCTCATAATTGACCACTAGACACCATGCTACAGTATCAAACACTTGTATCCTGCTATATTTTGATCTCACCAGCCTCAGTTTCTTGGTTCATATTGCAGTTTATCTAAAGCTAAGGGGTGTTTATTCTGGACTAACCAGCTTCTCTCTCATTCTCTCTCATTGACTTCCTGTTTACACATACGTACAAATGTGAGTTTAGCACTGCTTCTGTAAACATTCTGTATCCATCCATCCATCCATCCATCCATCCATCCATCCATATTCTACCAGTTTATCCTGGTCAGGGTTGAGGGGAGTCCTGCAGCCTACCCTAGACAGCAGCATGCACAAGGCAGGGTACTCCTTGAATTGGAGATCAGTCTGTCTCAGCATTCTGTGTTCATGTTATATTCAATACTCTGTACTTTAACCTCTACAATACATTTAGAAAGAAAAACGGAATCTTCTGATACCAAAAAGACTCTTCTCTTTGTTACCATTTTCAGTTTCCAAAAGGGAAACATATAACACAAAGCTTTCAGGGCAAGGAGAGAGTACAGAATGTGCACTAGTGCCATTTCAGCTTACATATCAAAGGAAACAAGCTGCACTCTCCTTCCATGCACCTGAAAGGGTCCTCTGACAGTAGACATCCATCAGCAAACAGAAGGGACCTGAAAGTGCACCAACAACGACTCCCTCCTTAAAAGCAAACCTTCAAAAAAGATTATGTTTAACCTAACTTCACAGAGGAGGTCAAAAGATAAACACATACATATTGCTTTTCATTTAGATGGACTATTGTTATTTACAATGGCTTTTTCAAACAGCTTCTTTAAAGGGGTTAAAAAGTAATGTTTACTGAAATGTCCCTTAGTATTGTTACGGATGTCTAATTTGACTTGCGCAAAACAATTTGTTTAAAGTTTATTCTATTCACTTGCCACTTTAAATGCTCAGCCATTGTAATCATTATCAGCATGAAACTTCATCAAATAGGTAGATTAGCATACCTATAAACGTTCACAATGAAATAGTCCTGAGACTCCCAGCCAGAAATGAGAATATCCTGCTGGTTTTTGTCCCAGTCAACCTACAACTTGGTTGGTTAATTTCTAACATGTATTTCAGAGGGCACATATTTGTAGGCTACTGATTGAGAAAAGATGACTCACTATCTCACCACAGTGATTACCATTTATCTTGATAGTTCCTGAAAATATACCAATATACCAAGAGGAAGTGCTACTTTGTCGTCAGGCTAACACAGGGACTACACTGAGAGATGCCTTTGTGCCTTGCAGAATGTAAACATTGTTCTGAATATGAGGTCACCCCTACCTTCTTGGTTGTCTTATGTCGATCTATCAGACTGACCTTTTAACAAATTGCATTTCTGCAGCATGACATTTACATTAATGGACAGGCTCCTATACCCTTAATAAAGTGATATATACTGCTTCTCGGAAGCAGAGTGAAATCCGCGTGGCCCGCAAACTGTTTTCAAGTGATATCAAAGCCAGTTGGCTCCTTTTTGTTGCACCGCCTCCGCCGGAGCACGGTAACCCGTGCACAGAAGCTCTGTGACACTCCTCCCTGTCCGCCTGCTCTCGACCCTCAGGCTTCGCCCAGTCATTACATTATCTGTCCTCTGCAGCCCGGCTCTCTGGAAACACGGCTAATTAAGCCTGTGCCTCCCCTGCTGTGCATCGCAGACCAAACTGCCTCAGCATTTCACCGTGTCCCCCCCCCCCATCTCCTCTTTGCCCTGCAGTTGCAACAATTACTTGATTAATACTCATAGCAATACATCAAAGCTGCATGATATCCCAGACAGGGTATGCGTAGGCATTGGGTATGCGCAGGCTTTGGCTATGCGCAGGCTTTGCTCGAAACTGCCAGTGGGCAAGGGAAAGGATGTGCAAGGCTCCTCTCAAACGGCCAACCGAAGCAGCCTAAAATATCACTTCCTGATCCCCCTTCTAAAACAAATTACAGTGTTCTGTCAAATGTGAAATTCCTAATTGTGAAATGTAACAGAGATCTGGTCACTTTTAATTCCCTGCAATGTTTCCGTCATGTCACGTTACATCATTCATCCATCATTTATTAATTACCAAGAAACGTTTATCCGGTTCAAGGTTGTGTTGATCCTTGTGCGAATTGCTTGAGGGTTAGAGCTAAAGGCTGGGTACACCCTGCCGGGGGACGACTGTCCAGTAAATCCTGTGGAAATAGATGTCCTATGATGTCAGAAAGCCTGCACTCACTGTTCATGGTGGTCCAGCTTGGATATCTCGGCCTGCGTCTTCTCCCAAAGCGCTTCCACTGTCAACCTGCAGGGGGTGCTGTGCTGACGGGTTCATATAGCCCCCTCCCTGAGTGATTGCTGTGAATGGGCCAGTGAGTTGGCTCGGGAGATGATCCTGATGGAAAAACCCACTCAACTCCAGAAGGCGCAGTGAAACAGGAATAGCACAACATGAAGTCAGCGTGCAGTAACTCTTAGGCTTATAGCCTGCATTGGTCCAATATTTAGATTTGGTAACATAAATTGTTAAGATAGTTGTATTAATCCACACACCACATTGTGGTGCGTAAATCAAAAGGTGCAATGTGTACTAATGGTTTCGATGTCAAACGTTCAGGCTTATATTTTAGACCTTTGTCTGAAGACGTTTATTATAGATTGTAATGGAACTTCTACTGAAAAACAAAAATAAACTGACTTGTACAAAATGTCAGCAGCAACTTGTGCTGTAGAGGAAGGAAACTTCGAAAAGCCAAAAATAAAGGGCTAGATGGTTCTATCCAGCCATATCCAAGTTAGCTACTGGTGGAATGAGAGAGCTTTGCCTCTGCTGGGAACATCCCCCTCCCTCCGAAACACTGAGATCACGCTGAACTACACCAGCACTAATCTAAGGGATAGTTCCCATAACACTTGATTTAAGCTCATTACGCATATTAACCCAGTTTAACGTTCTCTGACGATACCACAAATGCCACCAGGTTTACAGAGATATGTGTAATATGTCTTCTGCCAGCAGTACTGTTTGGAACCCACTAAAGGTGAAGAAATGCTGTATGTATGGACAAATAAATGGAAGAAAATAAGGGCAGAATAGAATAATCATGCTAACTGAAAGAGCGAGTTAAGGTTATATTAAGACTGACCTGGGTGAAAAGAGCAAATAAAACGTCACCTTAATGGTCAGCCTGAATGTCTGGGTGGCAATCGATGAAAGTGAATCAACCCTAAACGAACCACTATATAAGTTACATGACTTGTCTTATTAAACGTCACATACTCTTCAAATGTTCATTGAGAGTCATTCTAGAAGCCAGTTTCCCCCTAATCTCACCCTCTGCTTTGGGCTCAGATGGCACTTTACATGTAGGTTATTTTAGGCATTTATACAGAAGATTTATAAAAGTGCCTTGTGTTTATTGTTGTTCTGTTTTTTTCTTTCTTGTGAAAGTCCCAACAGAACTACAGAAGATCAACAAAGTGTACTCTCCCCCCCCCCCGGGTGCTATCTGCAGTCCCTTCCCTCAATTCCCAACACAAGGAAGATCCTCACTTCTTTAGTCCAGCATTAGGTCAGGGAAGGGGCATTATGTTAGCACCAAATCTAGTGAAATTCAAGGAAAACTGGCCATTAGTGTAAGGAGATTGGGTAAGCGGGAAGCATTGTCTTTGGATTGTGGCTGGGGCTCAGATCTTTAAGAGGCTTTCTTCCAGGGCTAAAAGACTTCAGCCTGGACCCTGGTTGGAAGATTTTGTGAATAGCATTGAAGACAATGTGATGGATTTGTCAGCTCAAAAGCTTCCTTTCCCGACTGAAATCCCAGAGTAGAGCTTTCTTCCATTATTCAGATTGGCTCTTCTCCTCACATCCACCCTGCATATGCCTACCATGAGGTATTGGGAGTGCAGGAGAGCTTCTGCTCTCTCACAAGCACATATTGTGGAAGGAAACCTCATCGGCATGGAGACACGAGGCTGGAACTGTGACTGGTGCACTTCCCAATGAGTCTGAATCATTATGACATCACTTCCTCAGGAAGTAAGCCAACTGTAATCTCCAAGAATGTTTTTCTGCACTATAGGTAGGATGAGACAGATTATTACTGTTTACTGTGCAAGTTAGTTTTTAGTTAAACTGTCATGGTTCCGGGCTGCTCAGACGCAAGGACGTGGCATAGTGCAGACAGAAAAAGGTGGATGACCCACTGGTGGCTCCAAGACCACAAAAATGGGGTTTATTAAACAAAACAGAAAAGATCACGAGGGGTGAAAAACTAAAAGGGGATTAACAAAGACTAAATAATAAAAACCAAATACACATCTAATACTGAGAATATCTAGCATCACAACCATCAAACACTATCAACGAACCACTAGAGAACAGAACAGAAGCAGGGACTTAAATACTGAAACCAATACTGGGTAATAAGACTAACACAGGACAGGTGAGACTAATTAACAGAGACCAGGAAGTCAGGGCACAGGTGAAACTAATAAACTAAAAGGAACAAAACAGGGAAACAAAGAACTAACCAAGGAAACAGGGAAACAGAAACC